TTATTCACTCGTTGTTTGCATAATAAACTCACTCGCTCGTTCGTTGTATGATGCAAACAACTCGTGAATAAAATCCCGTACGTCGCACTTTCCATGAAATAAACTCTATTTATATTACAGTCAGTCAGATATCCGAGCAAGAGCGCTTTCGCTAATAAAAACTTCATCGTTCAGTCAGATATGCATTAGTGCATATGYAAATTAGAAATTGGCACTCGTCTTGGCACTAATAGTGCCAAAGGCGCTAAATCGGAAAACTCTAGGTCCAGCCCCAGCCTCTCCAGGTCCTGCTTCTGATCATGATGCACCGACCAGTGCATTGAATGATGGTGCTGCCCCCAATCTTTCTCAGGTCTCACCAGATTAAGAAGAACCAGGTCCTATCCAACCAAATGCACGCATTCTGAGCTGCAGAAAACAGACCATCGTCAGCTCCTTCAATGGCAGGACACTATGGCCTCCTGGCCGTCTTGACGAGCTGAAAGAGTGCACCAAATCACAGAACATTGACATTCTAACCATTCAGGAACATCGTTTTTACCATCCAATAGACAACCTGAAGTACCACCAGGCTGGTTCCTTCCAGTTTATCACCTCTTCTGCCACCAAAAACTCCAACAACTACTCTGTTGGTGGAGTTGGCTTTCTTTTTTCACCAAAAGCCAATAATAATCTTGGTATTGAGTCGATCTCTCCAAGAATAATAGTACTGGCCCTCTATGAAGGTAACCCCAAAACAACTGTAATTTTTGTCTACAGCTCCCACAATGCTTCTGATGGCATCAAAGATTTGTACTCTACTCTTCGCACTACCTGTTGAGCAAGTGCCCCTCCATAACGTCCTTGTAGTTGCTGGTGACCTAAATGCCAAACTGGGTCCAAATGATGCCAGGTTCACTTTTAACCCTGACACCAACCGCCATGGTGAGCTCCTTGTTGACTTCATGGATGAATTCAATCTATTCTCCGCAAACACCAGCTTTATGAAGTCAAAAGGCCAACTCTGGACATTTGAATACCCAAATGGTGATCGTTCCCAACTTGATTACCTCTTGTTCAGGAAGAAATAAGAGTTAGTTACCGAGAACGGAGGCATTACGCTATATACAACCTGAGGGCTGTATATTGCGTAATGCCGATGTGTGAGGTAACTAGCAAACTTAGTTCTCAATTTACGTGGTTTTCGCAAAAACTGAATAGACTAAATGAATGTTTTCTTAGTTGGGATTCGAACAATAGAATGCTCTCCTCTTGAGACCTTTTCATGGACTGTTGAAATTTGTTTGCTTTAAGAAAACTTGTTCATGCGAAAGCGAGCAATTGAAATTTGAATATTGTTATCAAATATTCTTGATAGTCATTCTGGAAACGATGTTGAACAGTGAAGACGATTTGTTTATAGCTCAAAATACGTTTGACAGCATTCCTTAGCCGAACTTTGCCGGATTTGGAACCCTTCCCGACTCTATGCCTCTTCCCGCAAATAACGATGACAAAGTCTGCAGATGAGAAAAACAAGAGAAAAATTACAATAGTTTTTGATGTTGAACTCGCTCAAAGAAATACGAGGGAAGGATTCCAAAAGGAACAAAATATAGTACCAAATGGTGTGTACGTGCTTGGATAGAATGGGTCGAGGAGCGGAGAAATACGAGTTACACTATTACTTCTGATTCATACACGTTGGTCCAATTTCGACGTATAGATTCTTTTAAAGGTAACGAAGATGGTTATTGTTATCTCTATTCTCTGATGAGCACGAAGGAAAGCTGCAGGACTCGAAGTTATTACGCGCTAAATCTCCTCAAATTTTGCTAGCCACACTGGTATTTTTAAGGGAAAAAATAGTTTAGTTTACTAAGTCTATTTGATATTCATCCCTAAATATCGTCTTTCCGGGCTCTTTACGGTTCGCGCTAAGAGCGGAATGGGACACTGGACGCATTCCGTAAAGGACAGTATATGTATTATTTCCGGAAACTTTACGCACGCACATTTAACCGTTATCATTCCGTAAAGGGTTCATATTTCTTCCGTAAAGATCGCGGTAAGTTTAAACACAAATTAATTTTACTAATCTTTGCACACCGTTCAGATCCCATTTCCAGGGTTATTGTAATACCCCTCACGTGGCTGATCTGAGGCGGTCCTCGAACGTACATCAGGGAAGACTTGAACATCTTAGCCATACACCGGTGTCAATAAAATGGCTGCCTCTCCGAGTAGGAGTGGGGCGAGCACGAGAACGAGGCATTTTAGGATGAAACATGGCGTCTTCTGTTAAACTTCTCGAGTGTGATATTCCTGGTTCATCTTTAGATGGTCGAAATCCATCCATTTTAAAAAACGACGAATTAAGATTTTGGTTGAAGTGTAGGGGCGATCGGGCGAAAGGTTTGAAAACGAAAGCACAACTTGTTAAACGGTAAGTTTGACTTTATAGTTGTAGTTGTTGCTAAGATCACAAAGCGCGTGTAAACAATGACTTCTTTCCCTTACTAAGTCAACATTTTTCGCTTATTTTGCAGTGTTGAAGAGTATATTTCTCAAGGAAAAGATCAAGATCTAGTGGATCCCGATCCTAACCAAATATTTACCAAACGGAAGTTAAATAAAGCAGGAAAACTGCTCGATACAGCTACGGCGTCATTGTCAGCGTCATTAAAATATCCCGAAGATGGCTGGACAACATCCCTTTCTCAAATGCCGTTCTTTACCAGAGCTGAGATCGACAACCACATACGAGAAAGTGGAAAACGACTGGGAAGTAAAGACAATCATACTGTGCCAACTAGTTGGAGAAAAGGCAAAACATTTCTTGAAGATGAGTACTTGAAGGACATTGAATGTTCAAGTGATGAGAACTATTTCTATTTCCGATGCCAATGTTATCACTCGTTTAAAAAGAGTGATAAACCTCACTCGCTGAAGCTTGCCTTAAGCATTATATCAGGAGAAGTGATTCATTCTGTTTGTTCATGTGTTGCTGGGAAAACTGGTYACTGTAACCACTCCCTGTGYCTCATGCTAAAACTATGCAAGTTTTCCATGTACAAAAGCAAAACTACAGTAGACCTATCAAGTGAAAGCGATGAAAATCCACAAGCAGCATGTACYTCTAGCCTCCAGAAGTGGCATAAAAGAGGAAGAGGCGAAACAATTGTGCCRCAACCTATTATGGATATTCTAGTTAAGAAAACTCGACTTGATGATACTGAGCATGAGGCTGGTATCAAGTGTAATTTGTATGAAGCAAGGCAAAAGTTGACACAGACAGATGGCAGTGACATCAATGAGTTCATGCAAACTCTACGAAATATCAACTCTAAAATGGGCCTGGCTSAATTGTCTAACAAGCYGGACGAGTTAATGGAGACAAGATATGGCAAAAGCCCCAAGGGTTCTTTCTTGAGTTACCAAGTCTCCCATACAGAATCAAACTTCACTGTAGACATTGACATCARCAGCATTGACCGCAAAGAAGAAACTGTGCCTGTYGAAGCATATCCAAGATTTYCCCTCACTGCCCTTGAGGAAAATGAAGAACATGATTTAACTGACCTAGAGCAAGAGTTTATAAGCYCTCTTTCTGTGTCAGAGGACAAAGTAAATGAGATTGAAAGAAACACAAGGGGACAAGCTCATTGTGAACAGTGGAAATCAGAAAGGAAGTACAGATTTACAGCATCAAAGTTCAGTCTGATTTCAAAGAGAAAAAGAAATCATGACACTTTTTCAGACCAGATAATRTATCCCAAAGATGTGAAGTCAATATACACAGCTCATGGTATTAAGTATGAGGGAACAGCCATCCACGAATATCTGCGTTACATGAGCAGCACAAAGAAACCAGTTGAAGTTTACAAATCTGGTTTTGTTGTGTACAAAAAAGAACCGATATTGGGCTGTTCACCGGATGGAAAGGTAGTTGATTCTGGGTCAACTGTGCCGTTTGGAATAATTGAGGTGAAGTGTCCTCAAACAAAGTTTATGGTCACCCCCAAAGATGCATGTTCAGATGCAAATTTTTTTTGCACTTTTTCGGATGGCCATTGCAAGCTGAAACATTCCCATGCATATTATGCACAAGTCCAAGGGCAAATGGGCATTACAGGTACGAAATGGTGTGACTTTGTAGTGTACACYAAGAAAGGAATGTCAATTGAAAGAGTTCCCTTTGATCCTGTTTACTGGCAAGAACTGGAGAATAAACTTGTATCTTATTACTATAATCACTTTATATCTTTTGCTGTAGATGACTTTTCAAAAGTACAATATCTGTACAAGTCAGTAGATGATTTTACAATACACTTCAATTTCACAATTCAATTTAATGTAAACTAGTAATCAGCTGATGATTTGTAAAGTTATATAATGGTAGTAATAGCAGTAATCAGCTNGATGATTTATAAAGTAAGTACTATACACTAGTAACCAGCTGGTGATTTTTCAACTCATTTCTTAAATAACGTTAGAACATTAAATTTTGCTTATAACAGACTTGTGATAAAGGTATCTATTGTGATAAAATTGGGTTTTGCACATTGCATAGAAAAGCACAAACCGTCCACATTTGATTTAAACTGGAAATAAGGATAAAGGGACATATCTATCCCAAATGTGAAAATTTTTTATCTTATTTCAACATGAATCCCACCTCTCAACATGAATGCGGAGGCTGGCAATTTCTTGTGTTTTCACCACTTGCTCTGGTGTCATCTGTTCATCTCCTCCTAGGAATGGTGGGATGTTTAGGGATACACCAAGAGGGAGGATGTCATCTACCGTGAACCCCTTGTCTGCCATCACACTATCTTTGTCAGTAAAGGGAAGGTCTAAGAATCCTGATCTTTCAACTATGGCTCTATCAGAGATACTGCCAGTGTACAGCTGGCTAATATAGGTAATGGATCCAGAGGGTGATATACCAACCAGTCCTTTAAGTGTGGTGTTGTTCTTATATGAGCTAAATAATTGGCTATTTTTAAAGTAGTTTACTGTTAAAACAGTAAACTACTTGGCATCTGACACTTTATTTCGGTGCAGTCGATGATAACTCTAGTGTTAGGATATTTATCCTTAAAGTCCTCGGGCATTGATKCATCGACATCWTCTCTAGAGGGCCAAATGTTTATARCACCAAAACGCAGATACATGAAATTAATCCAGGAAATGAATATGCGACTTACGGTAGTTTCTGAAATGCCAAAAAGGAATCCTAGATGCTTTACTGGCATTCCTTGRYGCAGTCGACACAACGCCAAAAGAAATTCTTCTTGTTGTGTGAGACTTCTTGGACGACCACGCTTGTTGCGCWGAACCGCGTTCTCAGGGTTACCAACACCTTGATCTTTTGACGACCAATATCGGATATTTTCGCCATTCTCTCCTGAGTTTAAGTACTTAAATGTAGCTTGAAATGTTTGTATATTAGGGAATCCCGTATAGAAACAGATTGATTGATCATCGGATATATTTTCGAGACAAAACACGCGTGGCTTCAGCTTAGCATATTTGTCATTGAGTTCGGCGTATTGTTGTAGTAAACGCTTGACTTCACCTAAAGTATCGTCTCTTTCCTTACACAAMGYRGCTATTTGCTTCTTTTGTTCTTCAAGTTGTAGCTTTAATTGGGCAATTTCTTCATTATAAGACTCTGTTGTTTTGTGCGTTTCAAGTGGCGGAACGTCCTCAAGACCACTAGAAGGTGTTTCTTCGATATCGCTACTAGTGACATAGGTCGAGTCGACGTCCAAGTTCTTTCTCGCGCGTTTATTCAGAATAGGATCCATCCTCACAGAAGGAGCCGGTCGCTTTCTTGGCGAAGTTCTCCAGTTAAATTTCGTGGGAAAGACTYCATTGCGCCTTGTTAAAKACATTTTTCCACCATAACCTTTCTTGATCTCGCTTKTTTCGAAGTGCAAAGAACATACTTTTGTGTTGTCATTAAGGTTAAAATTTTTGCCAGGATCTCTTCTGATTTTAGCCAACCAAAGTTTCTTTAATGACGGATCTTTTGGGAAGCTGAAAAAGCCAACTTTTTCTCCATTTGGGCCAGTAGTTCCCTTTTGGTTACAAAGAGGAACGCAACAATGTATGTTAGATCGCGAAGCCATGTTTACGCTCTCTGCGCGGTATCCTAAAATGCCTCGCTTTGGTGCTCGCCCCATTTTCCCTCGGAGGGGCAGCCATTTTATTGACATCGGTGTATGGTCTTTGCCACTTCCTTCTGAACCTCATCACCCAGAAGGTGCATTACGAGGTTTCCCAGGCGGGTGCCAGTATGACCTGTCTGTCTGGCGACCTCCTCCAGCTGCTCCAAAGCACCAATCAAGGGAAAAAATTTTGTGGTCTAGCCGCCAGCTGACACACCATCATCAGTGCCTGAATCACCACCAACAACTATGTATTCGCTACACTGACTACTAATCCACCATTATTCACGCTACAGACGTGGATGCGATGTTAGGTGATGGGATATGTTTGGCGTGACTGTAGGGTATACACTTCCGTCAAAATTCTTGGGTTCAGGTACGTAAGTTTAAGACGATTCAGGCTAAATATGTGAAGGGAATTATTACATGTGCTAGGCTTGGTGAGATTATAGTCTATACACTGCAGTCTATACTAATTTATGCGAGTTATGATTTTTTTTACAATTTGAGTTGCGTTAGAAGAAAAAAAAAATACTACGATTGTAGCTTAGGTAAAAAAAAACAGGCTCTAAAGAATTTTTAACTGAAGTATATAAACTACAGTCACGCCAAACATAGCACCTGAAAATAACCTTCAGAGTCCATGCTCCACCCGAGCGGCTTTAAGGAATTTCGACTGCAGTTATGCAGTCTATGGCCAAACATAGAACTTGAAATACCTTACGTGCTCAGCACGAACGGGCACCGCGGAAATACGTTTTTGCCAACTCGATCATTGTGTACAGCAGCTTCTGGAGTCTGGTGAATGGCGGCCATCATGGCGGCTGAGTTTTTGCGAATTGTCATAAAACATGTGTCTTTTTTAGTTTTCTGCGTCTTCAGGATATTTATTTTCATTTTATCTTGAGATAAACTTACCATCCTTGTTGATAGGTCTGGCTACAAATCTTGGAGGTTCAACGCAGCTACCCAGTCTCAAACATGTTCAGTAAACTCTCAGCTGGTAATCTTGAAATTATATAAAGATATATTGGTGTAATAATGTTCAATTTCATTTCGAAAAAGGAACTGAATTTTACCAGTGAGGAAAAGTAAATCCTGGTCGCTTATCCCTCGTTTGTAACCATTGACATAATCTTGTTCGAAATGATTAGGTTGACAATTTGACCTGGCTAAAAGTTTGGCTGTTTCTTGGTTTTTTGGTTTTGGTGCCTTGTCAGTTTTGGATATCCTGCTTCTCAGACGTGAATGGAATATTTCCACTTTCTTCTCGCTGATAACAGAGCACAGATGTTGTTTTGCGGTGTAGTAGTCTGGAAAGTAGTTACGCTGGTAATGACTGTCACTGATCCATGACCGACTTGACATGACTGCCAGTCTCTTCATAAAAACAAATAAGTGTTGTTCTTTCCCATCTTCTTCCTCCATCCGCCATTCTGTACCCACTTGATTTGGCACTTCAGGGTCCAGCAGTAAACATCGCGTCCATATCTGTAGTGTTTCACAATTTTAATATAGCCTACGCCGTGTTTGACCTTCGTTTGATTTACTATAACTATACAGACGATCCAACTACAACAAATAAATGAAATTACAATAAATATCTAACGAAATATACGAAAAAACTGAGCGAAATATACTTACATACATGACGTCTTCTACACTTACTAGAACTGAAGAAATTTACATACCGAACTAAACAAAACTAAGAACGAAATACACAAGGGACAGGGCGAACAAAGACGCGTAAAACAGAAACAAAAGAGGCAAAAAACATGATTACAAGGAGCTAATCTAAATACATTTTCGACACTAACTGACCGCTACATACCGGCCCTTTGTACTTACGTAAGGTAAGAACAACAAATTAAATAAAGCGGTCAACTAAACAAATCTCTTAAATGTTTAGACAAAATAAATACGCTGTATGCCTGTTAAAATTTATACAAACAGCTTTATTTGTGATACAGAAAATATTACAGTTCAAGTTTAATAGACTTAATACAATGCTTTGCTGTTATGAATTTGTCAAAATATAATTTTCTCCCAAATAATAAATTAATAATAACATAATGTCAAAATCTTTAAAAGTTCAACTTTAGTCCTTTTTTTGTAATACATTTTGCATAAAGGCAAACATTTGTTGTTGCAACATCATTACGTAATATATACAATATGAGCGGGCGATCTGTATGAGGATTTAAAACAGCGAGCTGAAAGCGAGCTGTTTTAAACCTCATACAGATCGCGCGCGAATATTGTATATTACTTATGAAACGTTGAGGTAAACTAGCTCAGGTTTTAAAGAAACTTTTTAAAAAAAAAATCAATCTGACCGAGAAAATCAGAKTTAAAGTTTATGCAAATGAACAAGAAATCTGTATGTAATATACAACTCTCTTCATGGGCTATGATTTCTATTGTGTTTTGCCTTATGAATATTAATGAGTTTTATAATTGTTGTTGTTGTTGCTGCTGCTGCTGTTGCTGCTTCTCCATTTGTTTTAAAATCAAAGTCATTTGATTGGTGTTCTGTTCAGCTTGGAGTTTTTGTTGTTCTTTTGCTAGTTCCATCTCTAACTTCTTGTGCTTCAATTCTTCCTCCTTGGTTTTTGCATCAGTGACTGCTTTCTCTCTAAGCCACTCAATAGTGTCTGATGGTCTTCTTCTACTTGATGTTTTTACTTGCACTACTTCATCGTCTGAGTCATCRTCTGAGTCATTAASAAATGACCTCTTTTTCTTGTTTAGCCTCTCCATTGCTGCTATGCGTGTTGCCTCTGCCTTTTGTTTGTCTTTGYTGACAGCTTCTTTTTTCAAATTGCTCTGTTTCTCAGTGTCATCAGCAAGAGCAATTAGGTCATCTAGCAGAGATTCTGCCTCTGAAGGCTCTTCTCCACTTCCACCACTTTCCCTCGACTCTCTAGCAATCTTTGTTTTATATTTTTTTAGTAGATTCTCTGCTACAGTCTGCCATGCACTCCCTCTTTCTCTGCTCAAGTACTTATGGTGAAATACACCCTCAGCAGCAACCTCCTTTAACAATAGAAGGTCTTTGTTGTCATTCCATGTCATAATTCTGATAGAAGAAAAAAGATTTAAAACATTAAGTATGTAATATTACATAATTTTTATGATACTGAATATGAAAAATGGGAAAACACTAATATAAGTTTCAGTTGATAATTAAGTTAAATTATTTTCATTTACAAATAAGTCAAGTGTAATAGTGGCTTGGCTAAGTATCATTTTTTGTTTGCATGCATCACAATTGAGAGAAAATTAGGTTTAAACAGGCATGCTAATTTGTTGACCTAAAAGCATGCAAAATTGCTCTAGTGTTCAAATTTCTCTCCCAAAATCACTGTAAGCTTAATTAAGTTAAAAACTTTTTATTTGACATCTTTTCCTTGCTACTTGCTACAACAAGCTTAGCTCAGCTGGAATGAAAGCAAAGAGGAAACAACTTGGACAAAAATTCAAAAAGCTAATAACAATTTCAGCATAAAAAAATGAATGTTTACAAATAAAAGTTACCGGRTGCACTGTGTTGCGCGACAAATTGAGGGAGGACGTGAAACAATAATTTTACATCGAATTTACAATTGAATTTAGACAAAAAAGTCTATTCAATTAGATCTAGATAGTCTTCACCACTATTTACAACAATAATAAGTGATGTTTGTTGGGTAGAAATATAATATTCCGGATACAAACTTACCGTTCTCGACTGGACGGGAAAAGGCGGGAAAAGACGTCGKCTTTGCACACTCGCGGACGCCAAGAACACAACCGGAAGTAAAATTTGACTCGTCCCATTCCGATCCTGAGGTCTCTCTCATCTCGCGTTCTCCTCCAATGAAGTTCGWACCATTGTCACTCCTGATCAACTCAGGGGTTCCTCTACGACTGATAAATCTCCTAAGTGCATTTATAAACGAAGTGGTGTCCAGACTGTGTCTCGACATGGATGGCTCTGATGTTAAGACAGGTGAATACACAGCCATATCTCTTTCCTTTATTCCTTCCTTGTCGGACGAGAATTGGACCAAAATAGTCTACTCCAACGAAAGTGAATGGTGGTTTATCAGGTACTAGACGATCTTCTGGCAAGTCAGCCATCACTTGTTGACCACATTTGGCATCCCTTTTCTTGCAGGTCGTACAGGCTTGAATCACTTTGCGCACGGTTGCCTTTCCTTTGACAATCCAGTACTTCTCTCTCACAGTAGAGTGAACAAAGTTTTGACCTGAATGGCCAACGYTCTCATGACATTCTCTGGCAATAAGATGTGCAACATGATGATTTCCGGGTAGAATCAATGGATGTTTTGCATTAAACTCGATCGGTGCTCTGTCCAACCTTCCCCCGATTCTTAACATGCTGTCTCCATCGAGTACAGGACTCGAGTTGTATATTGGACCCATGATTCTTCTYTGTGAAGTTTTGGATTTTGCTCGTTCGCTGTCAGGTACTTGTAGCAGTTCCATGGCTTCTCGGTAGCATTGTTTCTGTATGTGCTTGATTATCTTCGTTTCTGCTAGCTCGATTTCCGATGGGGCTAATCTTCCTTTTGTTACTTGTCCTTTGTTCTTAAGACTCTCAACGAAACGGATGATCCAAGCAACAGATTTCTTTAACTTGTACCACGATGAATGGTAGTTGATTACTTTATCTATTCCAGAGTCTTGGTTTGGGTTAGATACAAGAAACGTCTGTTGTACTCTGTTGGTCTCAAGCGATCTTTCATCTACTGGTTGATATTGAGGCGATGGCCAGTCGTTCTCATTCTTCCGTAGAAACGTCGGACCGTTCAACCATTTGTTGTCTTCACTCTTTAACTCCTTAGCTGTCAGACCTCTAGTAACGCTGTCTGCCGGATTTAAGGTCGAAAGAATGTAGCGCCACTGTCTTGGCTGCGAGCCGTCGTGAATTACTGCAAGGCGATTAGCTACAAACGTCTGAAAGCGACTTGTGGTGTTCATTATGTATCCAAGAACTGTGGTGGAATCTGACCAGAAAATCGATTCGTGGATGGGTATGTCCAATTCCTCTCTCAACATCATGTCAAATGTAACAGATAACACTGCTGCAGATAGCTCTAGACGTGGTATGCTGATGGCCTTGATTGGAGCAAGGCGTCCCTTCCCAATCAAAAAGGCACAATGGACGTTGTCGTTGACATCAACTATTCTGCTGTAGGTCACCGCTCCGTAACTAATCTCAGAGGCATCGGAAAAGTGGTGCAATTGAACGATTTGTAGATCTCCAAAGTGCTCCGGTATTATCGATCTTTCAATAGATACTTCGGTCAGATTTGGGATATCTTCCAACCAGTGTTCCCATAACAGGATCTCGTCTTCTTCGATTTCTTCATCCCAACCAAGTTTTCGTCTTGTTAGGTCTTGTAGTAGCTTCTTGGCTGGTAGTACAAAAGGAGCAATGAATCCAAGTGGGTCATAAATTGAACTGGATACTGACAGAATACCTCTTCTCGTCTTAGGTTTCAGCTTTAAGGCAGCTTTGAAGGTAAACTTGTCATTGTTAGCGTCCCATAACAGACCAAGGGCTCTTTGTATCGGAACATCTTCGACCTCTAAGTCTAGGTCGACCAGAGATTTGGATCTTTCTGTTTCTTTGATGTTTTGCAAAACGCTTCTTTTGTTGCTCGACCATTTCGTTAATCTGAAGCCTCCTTCTGACATCAGACTCGTCATCTCTTTAACCATGCGATCAGCATCCTCCTCCTTCTTCAGAGATTTCATAAAATCATCGACATAAAAGTTCTTTAAGGCAGATTCGATGACATCGTCATTGTACTTGTGTCTATTATCTT